TGATTCGCTTTCTTACACGGCCCAACAAGGTCAATTCTCACCGGGTTTGAGTATTCTCGTCTCAAATTCACATGATCAACGGTCAAGGGCACAACGTATCCTCGCTTGGTAACTCGCTCAAAAAGTACTTTGTTTGTCTATGGAGAAATCAGCTCACTCCGACGGGATGGGGTTTTGGTAGACCCAGTCCAGTCAATGACGGGTGACGGCAGAAGAACCATTCCCGGTAGAATGCTATTGGTCGAATTCGTTTGAAGTTACAGTGGCTTCACCTGAAGTTGAAAAGGCATAGTCATGCCTAGGGATTTATCAGGGAAAAGCGAACGTAATTAAATTACTCGACAGTTTGTATCACAACTGGTATCCAATTATCATTTGCTCGAATGTTTAACGATTGGGCACTTGTCGGCAATTCGGTCATAGGAGGAGCTTGAGTGCTTGCACAAATTACTTTTGAGCACACAAGGTGTGGGTGAGAGTCATGAAGACAGATACCAAGTGCCACCGTTGTGGCTAGAATGCGAAACTGTACGTGTCTAGAAAGTTCTGTTTGAACTATATATGACGGACGGTAACGCTTCGGTCACGTTTCCGATATGATTAGTGTCTTCAAGGTGTTACACAATCAAACTTGTGATTGTCTTAATTACTCCACTTCGCAACCATGCAGGGTGATGCTCACGGATGCGCTCGGACAGACGCCTGGTCGAGCGGCCACTATACTTGGCTCCACAGGAGTAAACGATTGAGTAATAAAGAGGCAGCAGAATCTGGTGTTATATCGTTTATTATTATTATTATTATTATTATATTTTACACTCGTCTGAGGCTAAACTGTGTGCCAAAAAAATCATGGTTCAATAATCGTTATAAAAAGAAAACCGTTCCATCATTGACTTGTGGGCTCAATACTGCCAGGTTACCCAGGCCAAGGCAAGTGAATTTTCTTGAGGAATCTACAACCCAAGCCTACGGCTCGCCAAAGCCTGATCCAAAAGGCAGCGGGGCCGTGTGAAAACCACAGTCCATCGGGAGCCGGTGACCACCGCCACAACCAGGAAATCGTGGATGTGTGTGGTTCGCACGCTTCCTTATGGTTCGTTTGGAATCAGGGTTTTTGGCCAGCTCCCCTAGGTGAACTACCAGTGTTTCTATTGTTCAACCGTAGATTCACCAACGGGATGGATCTGAATCCGATTTGGAGATTGGCTGCGTAGAATATTTTTATTAATGGTACTTGATAGCCTTCTAAGGTGTCGCCTTTAAATGGTAAAGAGATGTACACAGGCTTTTTCTCAGTAATGACCCTCTTGGGAAACGCCTCGTGTCTTTACATCACAGATTCCACCACCAGACGCTCCGGGTATCCATTTTGGAAGAGGATTTTCCGCACATTTTGGAGTCCTTCAACCAGAGCATGTTTTTCGTGCAAATTCTTCTAGCTCTATTGGCCAAACGGAATAGGAGATTCTTCTGTATACTGAGTGGTAAAAAGCTACGGAAATGAATATACTGCCCATTCCACATTACCTTCCTGTGTACTGATCGATCCGTCTTCAATGAGAGTTAGGCACACATCTAAATATGCTAGTTGGTTGTTTGTCTTGTTTTCAATCGTGACTTTCAAATTCCAATACGCAGCATTGAAATGATGCAGTGGATAACCTGTAAAAAGGCACCGGACAGCTGTTTCGTCCATGTTTGTGACTAGTTAGCAATGCGTACCGTCAGAATTCGAACCGCGAACAGTCGGGTCATGACTTCAAACCCATACCCATGAGCTCCTCAGTCGACGGTCATCACCTTGTGCGAGTGACTCAATCAATTTAGAGTATCAAGTTTGGATTAGCCGATTCGATTGTTCTGGGGCACCAGGCACTCTTGGTGATCTTGGGTGTGGGTTTCACTACTTTGGGAGATCGTTAATTCCCCACGAGGTAATACATTCAAATGCTCGCTGTTCGAGTCCTGACAGGGACACAAAAAGTACGCACTGCTGATAAGTCCCAAACAGGACAGGGAACAGTTGTCCAGTGCTCTTTGTCGGTTATCACAAACATTTAGATCGCATTTAAATGCAGTCAAATAGTGGGGAATTAACGATCTCCCAAGGAGTGAAACTCACACCAAAGAACATCATCAACAGTGCCTGTGGTGCCTGTGAAAAACCGAATAGGCTAATCCAAACATTGACCATCTAGAGATGCAGTGGATGTTTGCAGTTTGTTGTGGAACCGATCACTCACAAAATATCGTCTATGTAACACGTGTAGAGTANNNNATATTTATTTTAAGCCGACCGTTTTCTATTCTAAACATAAAAACATCAGTAACCAAAGGCCCCGGAGAGGGGCCCATTGCCACAACGTCCTTCTAGTGATAGATTTTCGCATTAAACTTGAATTGTACACTGCGAGTGCAAAAAGCATGAAAATTGTTTCAGGTCACCTGTCGATAGGCTGACTGGAACACTTGTGAAACAGAAATGTGACATCTGGCTAAAATTTGTGACAATCTTTGATGTTTAAATCATTCAAATCGTCACTGAGGCTGATTGTATCCTTCAGGCTACGCTGAATCAACGTCACTCTTCCCAGTTCCAGAAGACTAATCAACTATCGAGCCACCGCATGCGCGGTAAGAACAGTTGCACATGTCCAGGATCGACCGGTGAGGAACTCTACTCTTATGTACTTTGGTTAGCCCATAGAACTGTGGAATCAACTGTCATAGTTTGCAATCCGTACCGTATTGACTGTTTTAGAACGCTAATACGCTTAAACGAACCAAGTCGTGTCATCGATTTTCACGACTATTCCAATTATCTTCTCCTAGTCCACGGAACATAATTTTAACTGTAAAATGTGTTTATTTTCCACACAAAACTCACAAGATTTTTTTGTTCCATTCGATTCGTTTGCCAGTTTACGCAAGAGTGAGTCACCGGTGCGAAGGGACAAACCTGGTTCGTCACACTCACTCACCCGACTTCGGAAACGATGCGAATCGATGGAACGGGAACTTGGACCGATCGATTGGTAAGTTGTTAAACTGCGATTCCGGTGGTTGTGCATGATATATATATATATATATGTATATATCAAAAGCGATTGGAGGGGTACACTGAGTTGTAAAAATATTTATTCTAACGTTTTGATGCAAACTAGGACTCGTTGTGAAACGTATACGAAATGAAAGAGACAATGGAACTACCGTCTTTCCGTGCACCTGTGTGATGTTTGTGCGTCTATAAACCAATCGATTGTCACCAGGTTTTTACGAGTGCGATAGTTTCGCTGAAAAAAATCTCATTGTATTGCTGTATTGTACTTAACAAACGCTTGAATCCAGACTATGTGCCAAACAAATCTTGGTAGAATTATCTCTATAAAAGGAGACGGATTTCACTATTTTTGCTTGTGAACAGAATAGTACTAAGTTGCTCAGGCGAACGCATGCGAGTTTTCTTAGGGAATTCACAATTGGATTCTTTAACTAGCCAAGCCCTAACTTGCAAAATAGCAGGGTAATGTGTGAAAACCATGATCCATTGGTGGCCGGGGTACAGTTGTCCGGATCATGCATCCTTCGGACGGGGTCAGCTGTCCAAGATTCCCCAAAAAACCGACCTCTATGTCCAATCGAACCGTTGGCCACTGCCGCAATCAGGAAGATGTGGGTGAATGTGGCCCGTGAATCTCTTCTTTACTGATTTGGAGTCTAACTATTTTGCTAACTACCCTCGGTGCTCTGCCAGTAGCTCACCGACCCGGGTATAGACCCCCTAATTTTGGCTTTTTGTCCTCTCTCACTTGTGTGTGGGGAAACACGAGAAGGTAGTGAGTAGAATTTCGTCAGCAGAGAATGTGAGAGATGCTTAGTCACGCGTAGGATCATTTCGTGAGATACAAGGGAAGGGTAATCAGCCACGACTTGAGACATCCAACACAGACTATCCCGGGGGGCGCTTCTGGAGGTAACAATAATGACAGTAGGAACAGTAGTAATGATACTCACAAAAATGGCCGGAAAAAACAAAAACAAATTAAGAGGCACTGAATTCGCGAAAATCAGCTGACATTAGTTGTTACGGTCCATAAAACGCATCCGAATGCTCCACAGAGTACACAAACGAATTTCCAAGTTCAACATTTGCTACCTGTCATAATAGTAGAGAGAGTATACAAGCGATATCTATTTAGTACAAGACCAAAGAGAGCTTTTTGGTGTTTTGTGCCCTGGTCTAGTCAACGGTTATTCGGGCGGTGGTGGCCATGTGGTTAGATCACCAGCTTGTGGCCTAGGGGTCTGGGGTTCGAACCGCCCCGCCGTCGTCGCCCTTCTCCCCGGACACGATGTCGGCTTTAGATTTGTATATTGAATAAAAGAAAATGCAAAAAGGAGAAGCACAAAGGAATTTCACCTCATTTGCTGTCCACGATTAGCTGGCTGATTAACACCGGCGTCATTGAGGGTATCGATTACCTCTCTCATTCAGGCTAAAACTCACTGTTTTGAGGGCGATATACCATGCAGTGAACGATGACCGTTCTCAAAACGTACTGTGCCCCTTTTCTCGAAGGTACCGGATACCCCACAACCTTATGATTGGTCATTAATCAAGGATTCTGAACAGTAAATGTGTGTGTGTGCCATCCGATAAAATAAAAATGCACTCAGTTAGAACAATCGATTGATTCAATCGGCCCGGTTCAACACCAATTTCTCGTGACTGCGGGCCCAGTCTGCGTTTCTTTTATTGTACAACGATTGTGTACCGTCTCGGGTATTGTTCATTGGTGCACAGTGAACCGCGATTGCAAGAACAACAGCGACAACAACACTAATGAAAACATCACAGCCGAGACACGGAGATCAGATGATAAATGAAACCCTAATTTGAACTGAGTGAGCATTTCTACCAGTTCCACTACCGATATCAGTAGACTCACATTTCAAATGATCAATGCTTTTTTGTCAGTGACCAATTGAGTTTCGAGATGCTGGTCTTCAGGTATGTTTTTTTCTTGTTAGTTTAACAAATTCACAAATTCGTGGAGTGGAACGAACAAAATTGATTCGATAAGGATGTGTGATCGGCGTAAGTAGTGTAGTTGATGAAAATTCAAAGCAGAATTCTCTAACAGAACAATGGATGTATTTTGTGATCGAGAATTGAAGTTTTCACTTCTGTCGCTTTGTCACGTCGATCGATCAACTTTACCTGATGGTAGTAGCACCAAGCCCCTCTCCCACTGGTAAGATGTGTGCAGTTCGAGCTAATGGGGTATTCGATGTGCACCGAGTAGAAGTGAGAACTAAACACAGTCAATCGTGGACGCTTTCATGCATATATGGTCAATTAAAAATTCAAGATAGATAGATAGATAGATAGATAGATAGATAGATAGAT